GTGAAGGAATCCAAGCTTGATCCAAGAGCAAAGAAGGCTCTCTTTATGAGAATCACCCATGGAGTGAAGGGATTCTTCCTTTGGTGTTTAGACACCAAGAAGATAATTTGTAGCATAGATGTTACCTTTGATGAATCTGCCCTAGTAAAGAAGGTAACAAGTGAAGCTGTCCAGACAAGTAGTACTTCGCAGCAGGTGAAGCATACTCCAAAACAGGTGGAGTTTCAGCAGACGATGATCCTAGAAGTTGATGCAGCTGATTCTTCAACTCCAATAGAAGAATCAAAGATGAAGAGGTTCAAACCCAAGAACCATTGGAGACACCAGAACCACTTGCAGTTACAAGGCCAATGAGAGAAATTTGTAGACCTGCTCGATTTGTTGATATGATGGCCTATGCTCTTCCAGTTGTTGATGATGATATCCCTATCACTTACCAAGAAGCAATACAAAGCTTGGAAAGTGATAAGTGGAAAAGTGTCATGGATGAAGAAATGCAATATCTCCAAAAGAACAACACTTGAAAACTGGCACAATTATCGAAAGGTAAAAGAGCCATTGGATGCAAGTGGGTATTTGTAATCAAAGATGGATCTCATAGCAAGAAAGATGTTCGCTACAAGGCACGGTTGGTAGCTAAAGGCTACGCTCAAAAGGAGGGAATCGACTACAATGAAGTATTTTCCCCTGTTGTGAAGCATTCCTCCATTATAATATTGTTGGCCTTGGTAGCACAGTTGAATTTGGAGCTAGCTCAACTTGATGTAAAGATGTCTTTCTTGCACGGTGATTTAGAAGATGAGATCTATATGACTCAGCCAGAAGGATACAAAGATGGTGATTGTGAGAAATGGGTTTGTAAGCTGAACAAATCGCTATATGGATTGAAGCAATCTCCGAGGCAGTGGTACAAGCGATTTGATAGCTTTATGAGGAGGCAAAAGTACACTAGAAGCAAATATGATCATTGTGTGTATTTGCAAAACCTCAAAGATGTATCTTTCATTTATCTTCTCTTGTACGTTGATGATATGTTGATCGCTTCGAAGAGTCAAAAGGACATAGACAAATTAAAGGCTCGGTTGAATCAAGAGTTTGAGATGAAAGATCTAGGTGAGGCCAAGAAGATTCTTGGTATGGAGATAAGCAGAGATAGACAGAGAGGGAAGCTTTGTTTAACACAGAAGCAGTATCTGAGAAAGGTATTACAATGTTTTGGCATGAATGAAAATACCAAACATGTAAGTATCCCATTGGCTTCTCATTTGAAACTTAGTTCTCAATTATCTCCTAAAACTAACGAAGAACGAGTGTATATGGAAAAAGTTCCATATGCTAATACAGTTGGGAGCTTGATGTATGCAATGGTGTGTACGCATCCTGACATTTCACAAGCAGTTGAAGTTGTGAGAAGGTACATGCATGATCCTGGAGAAGGACATTGTCAAGCTGTGAAATGGATTTTACGGTATCTCCAACAAACCGTGGATGTTGGTTTAGTTTTTGAACAGGATGAAGCACTTGGTCAGTGTGTGGTTAGATATGCTGATTCCGATTATGCTGGTGATTTGGATAAGCGTCGATCAACTACTGGGTATTTGTTTACTCTTGTTAAAGCCCCAGTTAGTTGGAAGTCTACATTGCAATCTACGGTGGCCTTGTCTACTACAGAGGTAGAATACATGGCAGTTTCAGAGGCTGTAAAGGAAGCAATTTGGCTTAACGGGTTGATGGAAGACTTGGGAGTTGTTCAAAGTCACATTAGTCTCTATTGTGATAGTCAAAGCGCTATTCACTTAGCGAAAAATCAAGTCTATCATTCAAGGACTAAGCATATCGACGTGATGTATCACTTTGTGCGGGAGATCTTTGAAGAATGAAAGATTCTACTTCAGAAAATTACGACATCAGAAAATCCTGCAGATATGATGACCAAGGTGGTAACAGTAATCAAGTTCAATCATTGTTTGAACTTGATTAACATCCTGAAAGTATGAACACCTTCGGGTGTGTGGCGCTTGTGAGCGCAATTAGAGACACTACAAATTTGGGGAGTTTAAGAAGTTGAGTAGGCTTGGTAATTTCAAGCCAAGGTGGAAATTTGTTAAATTTGTCTAGAAATTAAGTTGACAAGTTGGAAATTTCATCTTGGTTGGTGGCCAATTTATTGGAAATTTCATCTTGGTTAGTGGCCAAACTTTGAACATGTGAATTTCATATTTGGTGGCTAACTTGTACACATTGGAAAATTCTTTGGTAGGTGACCAAACTTTGAACATATTGTTCTTAAAACTCAACTATAAATAGGCCTAAGTATTTCCATTAGAAATCATCCCAAAACAAGTTCTATCTTCCTCTTTTATTCTTCATTCTCTCACTTTGGGAATTCTAAAGAATTCCATTTGTTGTAATATTGGCAATATAGTGAAGTTATCATCCGGTGTGGTGCCCGAGGAGTAAGACGACATTCTCGTCGAACCTCGTAAATTTGGTGTGTTCTCTCCTTTATTGTTTTTATTCGGTTCTTTTCCATTGTGTTTCAATATTCAATAGTTTGACGGGTTTATCCGTTGTGCAACCTTTGGTGGTTTTAATCTTGACATTTTATGTCAATTTTAAAATTACGTTCGTGTGATAAATAACTCATTTTCCCCAACATCCATATCAAAAAGAGCGCTTTTAATTTCATCATCATCTGGAAGGGCTTTCAAAGTGGTACAGTCAGCTTCGCTGATGGAAGGAAATTGACCCATCGGTAAAAAGGTTCGCTTTGGGGTTGTGGATCGGCATAAAGCTCACGGAAAAACGCACGGCTTCATCTTTGAGGGCATCATCATCCTAAGACAACTCATCATTAGCGATCTATAAAGAAGAGATACAATTTTTGGCCTTATGCTGCTACGTATTCTTGTGGCAGTACTTAGTGTTCCTATCCCCATGAATATTACAGTCCGTACGGGACCTTTGCTTCCACAACAACTCTTCTTGATTAAGGAGCGATTCAAGCTCTAATTGAAGGTTTGCTTCAAGATTTATGAGGGTTGACGTTTGCCTCTGCTCAAAAGCTTTTTGAACCCCCCCTTAAGCGAGCCATGATTCCACGCTTTTTAACACCAATATAGCCAAAAACCGTTTTACTACAGTGATCCGCGACCATAGTAAAATTGGAAACTGTTTTAGAGAGGCTAGAAGTAGACTTCCAATTGTCCTGAACCCTTCTATCAAAATCATCATGAGTAGCTAACCAGAGAAATAACGAAACAAAATAGAGGAGGCGCGAGAGGCGCCCATATTAGAGAGGAGGAGTAGGGGCCGATAATTCGATTGAACCTGCAATAAATGATTAACCACTGAAGAGGGGAATGACTCATCCCAAAAGTTGTTGCAAAGAAAACGATCAAGCCTCGCATAAGCGTGAACTCGATTCCAAGTAAAGTGGGGGCCCTGAAAACCAAGATTACGGAGGCCAAAATTGAAGACGAAGCTTATGAAGGCGTTATTCGGCCTCGTGGAATGAGCACAATTTTTACGATCATGAACACTGAGGGTGGAATTAAAATCACCTAACAAAATCCACGGGCAGTGGATTGAAGCTGCGATACAACCAAGGTGATCCTAAAGAGCTTTGCGCTTAATAAGGTTAGGACTTGCATAGATTAACGTTTCCAGAGACATAACACCCGTACGCTTGCATCTGAAGCTAAAGTGGACAAACTGAAAGTGATTGAGAAGAACTTCAACTTCAACGATGTTGTACCAGCAAAGCCATATACCACCTAAAAACCCAATGCTTCAATATGATTCGAATTAGGGAATCCAATGGTAGAAATTACAAGGTCGACTTTAAAACTACTAATCCTTGGTTCAACAAAACCAATTATAACAGGCGAATTATCACGCAGAAAGTAAATATTTTAACCATTAAAAATACAAGAATGAGGACAATACCAATGCTTAGTCAGGCATCAGAACCGCATTGTTGTTGCCTGAGTTTTTCGCCTGCTGGACCTCAGAGGATCGCTGGAATTTGACAATCCCTGACACGTTAGAACTAGATGGTGGTACACCTTGGGAAAACGAAGCATTAAGGATGTCTGGGGTGTTGGTTGCAACAACAAACGCTCAATAGGGGAAGGAGCAATATGGCTTTTCATAACATTCGGATTCGAATTTTCGGAAATAACCACCGACTTATAGGAGCTTGGGCTTTGGATAGAGCATGACTTTGGAGCAGGGGTGTCGTAAGAAGGTCGATGAGTGCTAGATGAGCGCTGAAGAATGGATGACACCCCTGCTGAAGTCTCACGTGAAAGAGCCTCAAGATTGGCAATATGGGAATGGTCTGCATCGTCAACAGCCATAAGGTTGTCGGTCGTCGAGTCCTCATCAACTCGCCGTTGTTTCTTAATGCACCGGCCATCATCAAACACAGGGTCAACGGGTTCGCCTGGGCTGATGTGGTTTACGGGGAGAGTAGTAGAGAGCATTAGGATTTTCTTTAATAAAAAAGTTCCATATATTAATATTTGTATGTTGTATTAAACTAGATTTTTATATTGTATATTTTTTATCGGATTAATTTTAATCAACCTTCAAACATTGAGGGTTTGATGCATGATCTTACAACCAATTTTAGACCACATTTATGCGGTTCATTAAACAAATGAAAGTTATATCAGTAAAAGCATCATAAATTATATCTCACGTTGTATTTTAATTTAATTAAATAAATTGAGCGTTTTAATTCCATCATTATAACTCATCTTAATTCCATCATTATCAAAATTAAGCATTTTAATCTGCGCCGAAAGTGTCATTAAACCATGCCTTGATGTAATCATTAGAGATCATAGTTGCTTTCTTCTGCTACAAAAGCGAAGGGAAAAGCCGTCCATTAATGAACACACGTGAAGTGAATTGACAACTAACTCAAATTTGCCCCCCCCCCACCCCCAAAAGACGATGAAAATGGTGCAATGGGAAAGTGACGCTTTTGAATTCCGGTCTACCACTTCAAGACTTACCGATCGTTGAAGATATTGTCGATTCATTGCCGGAGTCGGTGTTTTTGGTTCCCTTCCTTTTCATAGTACTAGATTTGGAGTGGTTAAGGAACTCCAATTGAACATTCTGCAATAATCAAGAACATGAAATCAATAGGGCAGCATCTATGATGTGAAACTATGAATAAGTAGAAATGTGGATTATGGTTTACCGATTGGTTTTTCTGAGTGTGTTCCGATGATGCGAGCTATGTGGTGACATTTTCGATACTCCTTGCTCGAAGTTCGACACTCCTCAAATCGCGGAGATGTTGTAGAATCTCTTGAAGAAGATGGACACCTTTATCTCCTTTCCTCGATGAGCTGATGCAATGTTTTATGAACTCTCTATCTGCCTCAAGTGCTTGTAGTCTCTCGTAAACGTGATCCACTTCTTCCTCGATTGCGAGCTTTTTGCTCTCGAGTTCAGGCAAGGACTGTCTAAAGGCTGCAGAATGGAAGCCGTTTTCGTGTCCATTCGATATCGAATCTTTGATGTCCGCATCAGTGGCATCAAAAAGCGGGAGAAGGCTCTTTGCCATTGTAGCCATGGGATTTGTTTTGTCTTGGTGATGTTTCCCGTTCACTCCCTCGAAATGAACATCCGTAACACCATCCGTTCCGTGGCCAAAATGGGGAGTCTCGTGGAAGCCATTGCCATTCTCTTCGTACAAGTACTCGAAATGTTGTTCAGCCTCTTCATCATTCAATGAGATCAATCTTTCTTCCAAGACCTTGAGCTGCTCTAGAATGGATAGCCTCTCTTCCTCGAAGCTAGCCAATGACTCCTCCAAGTACAAGACTGCATCAGCAGGGGTATTCGGGTTAACATCCTCTCGAATTTGACGGTTTTCGGAGCTATCTTCTTCCTTCGATACATTATTTAAATCGACCGATACACCATCACTGTCCTCAGCATTGCTGCAAGACGCAGAACTTGCACTCCGAATGCTGTCATCTTTCCTTCTTCTCGACATTATCATTCTCCCTTTAGCCTCGTAATCGAACACCTTCCTTCGATATACGTCGAGTTGCTTTTCGAGCTCCACCTTCTCCCTCTCCCGCTTGACCACAAGCTTATTGAGAATCTGCAAGGCTTCCTGGTCATACTCGGATTGTTCTTCCATCATCCTCTGATACTGCAACGCTTCCATCTGCATTGCTGCTTTCTCTTCTTGAAGCCTATTTATCATCGCCATCGTCTGGCTCGCAGCCACTGCAGAAGCACTCCGCTCTTCCTCGAGCTCCCTATACAAAGCATTTAAGGCCTTCCGTTTGGTTTTCAAAGCCGATTTCAACTTGTCAACAGTTGGTACCACATCAACAGTCTCAATGTCACCGAAAACACTTCCGTCCAACGAATCTTCGGTTCCGGACTCTCTTCTGTCAAGCAACAGCAATTTATTTTGCAACGAGTGGAAACCGTCGACGGAAGTCAGTATATCGGGAACTTTATCTTCCTCAGCATCCTTGGAGGGTTCAATATCTTCAACTGGTTCATTTGCTGCAGAAATTGCACAAAATTGACAAACTCAACAATGTAAAAAAAAATTATATTGAATTGGATTAAAAAAGTACCTTGATTAACATCTACATTGATTTCCCCTTCTATTGTTGCTGCATTTGATTGAACACCATCTTCTTCTTCCTTCTGATTGGACTCCATTGATTCAACTGGAATCAAATGACAGTCATCCCCTTCTATGTAGAACTCCAGATGCTTGCCTAGAATCTCAGGAGATTCCTCTTTGGTGCAAGCGAGTTGACTCACTTGAGTCAACTCATGGTCATCCATTGACAAAACCAAGTCTCCTTCTTCAACTGATACTTGTTGATCTTCCTCCAAAACCACATCGCCTCCATTAGCAGCCACTTGGCTGCATTCAAAACAGGAAATAAAACATGAAAAATCATCTCTTTCCAGTTTTATCTCTTCATCACCATCTGAAGTGATGCATACGCCCTTGTTTTCTTCAATCCTCTGTTCATGTTCTTGATCAGCAGCCACAAAATTTGATCTGATTCCATCCGAAGCATCGACTTTTTCTCCTGCTTCAGCAATTACGTAAGGAAGATTCCGCTTTTTCTCCAAAACGATGGCGCAACAAGAACACTTCAAATTCTCATCACCATTTTCCACTTCCGGCGGCGACGAGGACAAGCAAGCCGCGCACATATCTCGAGATTCAGATAGTCTCCGGTGATTAGAGCAAAAACCCAGTTTAGAAATCTCATTGGCATGCTCGTCACACACAAGATCTCTATAAGAACTCCGGTGCTTTGATGGCTCAAAAACATGATCAATCCTAGAACACCAAAGGCAGGGCCTTTTAAGACCAAAGTAATCAGCAAACTTGATAACCAGATAAGAAAACAGGGAATTCAAAAGGAGAAGAGCGATCAGAATCCATTCTAGTAAAACATAGACAAGAACAAGAGTGATTCTGTTAGTGTTCTTATGCAACATGGTTGCGAATTTGTTGGCAGCCATTAATGAAGCTCTGTTTTTTACAGAGATTTTAGAAGTTATCAAAAGGGACAAAGCAAAACATGAGAATAGTATGGAAGAGAGTTAGCTTTCAATGAGAAAGAGAGAGGAGAATCATAAAGCTTAAAAAATGGGTATTATATTTTAGACTTAGAAAATCATAAAAGGCTGTTTGAACAGGAAAATGACTGCCAAAGAAGACTGGAAAACTGAGGAAAAATAATTCATAAACATTGGAAAATAGAAAAGGAGCTTTGAGTCTGAGCAAATTAAAGGGATTCCTTTTATCACAATATCAATCGAATTAAGATTTAACAAAGGAAGAAATACTGATGTTATGATGAGCAGAAATGGTTAACTTTTTCTTTTATCATAAGCTGAAGGTTAAAGGTGAGACAGCCATGGAAGCCAAACCCCCACCCATAGAGTACATACAGTCTGGTTTTTTGGGACAAACAAAATGAAAAGGTCCCACCAACCTTACAAATGGAGTTGTTGGGGACCACTCTCAAAGGTAAGATTGTGGATGAGTGGATCCATTTTTATTACAGGTTGCTGGTTCATGTGCCTGCTTCATTTAACTCTGCTCTTTTTCCATGCAAACTTTTCATCCTTTAACTGTGACAAACTTATTCTCTGTGTAAGAAAAGAGACGACTTTTTTGAAATTCAGTTTCTGGCTTTGGATTCCTTATACAACAAAGCATATGAAGTCTAATTAAAAATATTTTCTTTAATAATTATTTTGATTTAGATTAATTAAATAAAGTACTATTAAATTTAAGTTATTAACTATTTTTAAGTGGAGGGTCTTCTTTCATTCTTAACCTAATCACAACCATCAATCGTAGGGGGGAAATAGATGCAGATGTTAATTTGGTTTTCCTTTAAATGGGATTAGAATGTTGAAATTGTTATTTAAAGGGGGAAATTGAGCATATTAAATAAAAGGATGGTGTAAATGCATGGCCTAAAAGCAATATTAGTTACGATGGATTGTAGTTTACAGTTGAGATAATAATCTGCCATTGTTGAACTGTCTAAATCAATAGGTATTTCAGTGAACAGAATATATTGCTTCTTCCACCACCATTGAATTGTGTTTAGGTAATTTAATTTATTGATTTCAAGGTTCACTTAAGTGGAAAAAAATTCAAAAAATTAATTGCTTTTTTTGTTTGTTTGAAGGCTTCATGAACTCTTAAATCTTACATTTGATATTATAAGTTCGATGCTCATCGACAAATATACACTGATATGATGTCCAAAATAATGAAAGGAAACTAGGACTTGAAGCCGGTGGTTTCACATGATGAGGTCGTCGATGAGAGGTGTGGTGAATGGGAGCTTGATGACCCCAGAAGCCACTAGCAGAGAAATGGTCCAAATCGGTAGGATCCACTGAAGCACAACCAACAGAATTGTCTTTCCTGCACGAAAACAATTGGCAATCAAAAGAAAAATGGGATTTACAAGTCAAAGTTCACATCTTTTCTGCAGTTTGGCCAAGGAAGTGGCTTGAAAAGAGCACTTGAAGGGCTGATTTTGGCCTGAGTTTAAGATGAAATACCGGAGGAACGGAAGGTTGCTTCAGTTGTGGAACCGATCCACTCCCCCGTCTCCCGGAGCTTCTTCTCGATTTCTCCTTCAAATTTACCACCACCAACAGGCAACAGCCCATCAAATATCGTCTTCCTGCTGTCCTCCTCCAACTCACTGACCAACGTTTAACCAAACAAAGATTCAGACACTACTCACAAACCAGCTAAAATCCAATCTTAAAGGAAGAAACTTTGAAGGACATCAAAGAAAGGAAGAACTGGGGTTGAAGAAGATATGCCTGGAGTCAGCGTCACGGAAGGAGCCGGCACCAATGGCGCGTTCAATCTGGACGATAGAAGGAGGGTTTGGCTTTTGTTGACGCAAACGTTGTCTCCTTCTTCTTGCTGTTTTGGGTTTCGAATTTGTCTGAGTTTCTTGAGGAGAGGGTTTATCTGTAAGAGAAGCAACGGGAAGAACCACAGCTCTGGCCATGGAAATTGAGCAGCAGGATAAGCAAGCCATTGCAATGCTTCTTTGGCTTCCTCTGTGCTCTTTGTCGACTGTCCAATGATAACTTGAAAAAATCAAGCAGAAATATCTTCACAAGATAACTAGGGGACAAGGTTAGATTAGATTAGAAGAGATGAGGCCCTGTTTTGTTAATGATCAAATTTATCAGCATTCCATGTATTATGCATAACTCAAGAAAATAGACCCCATACTCTAAATTGTTCCATTTCAACACCTATGCTTCTTTTTAATTTGAGACCTTGGATAATACAAGAATATCATGAAGAAATACTTATCACAAAAACATGGACTTTCCGGAGAAATTATAGCGATATGATTACTACATAAAAATGGTTCCTGAATATAACAAAAATGATTTACAGTATCTGTACAACGCCTCCGAAAATCTAGTTTTCGTGTTGCCGTCACACGGGTAGATTCCTCAGCAGACAAAGTGCTCGTGTCCAATGTGATCTTTGCGATAAAACAATCTTCCTCAATGCCGGCACTGCCCCGGCAGCTATGATTGCTGAATGGTTCTCACTGTCCATACTCAAGATTATACAGTATCGATAAGGCCACTTCGATCGCCCTGTCACTCCCTTCTTTGATAAGCTTCACCAGTGGAAATATACTGCCCCAAGACGCGACAGCTCAGGTGGAATCAACGACCCCTTCGGAAATTATTCTGCTAAGTTCAACAGCAGCAGCTTCCTGCGTTTCTGGAGAAAAAGATGATTGTATCTGCTCTACAAGTCTTGGTATTGCCTCATAAAGGGTAACCTCCATGTTGATCGGATTCTCGTAGTCTACATAAGGACCGGATAAATAGCTCAGTTTAACAAGGCAAGCGGCAACCCAATCTTTGTTTTGAAGAGGTATGGCGGACCTTAGGATTTCGCGGAGTAATTTAGTGAAAAGGGTAGTGTCTATTTTCCGGGAAAACTGTTCCGAGTCGACAAGTTTCGTAAGTAGCCTTGAAGCTGCAGAGACTGCTTGAGCAGCTTCTTCAAGTTGGAGAGCGTATTTGTCTGGTTCCTGACCTTCTACATCATCTTCCATGTCTGCAAAATAGGGCCTATCACCCGAAGCATCAACGCTGCTTGCAGCACCTATACTTGTTTTTGAACCATTTACTGGTCCATTGTAGAACTAGATACAACAATATACTAGGGTAAGTCGATAGAAAAATACAGGGTCCATATCACTCTGAGTGCGTGCGTGCGTGGGGGTGATTGTGTTTCGAAAACTCTGAATAATTGAAAGTGTTTTAATTGTCAAAAAACCAACAGATAAAAATGTATTCTATCATTTACACTATGCTGTAAGAACCTTTGACTTCATTTCTTTACTGGGGTCTAAAATCCTAGCAAGTATATCTAAAGTCTGCAAATGCAGCAAGAATCCATGTCACTAATATCAAACTAGGATCATTACAAATTCTATCATGAGAAAACAAACATAGCTTTTACCTTTTCCATCAACTTTCCAGAGGTCTCCGACTGTTTCAGAGGACAAACTAAGGGTGTAAAATTCCTTCAGCTTCAAGTCCCGGATAAACAACAGGGCTGCAGCAAACAAGAAACTTCAGTGAACATTCTATCCTATCAAAAAATTGAGATATCGTGCACATGTTTTGTTAGTTAACTCTGAAACTATCAATAAAATAAAGAAAATGAAAATATGGACAACGAATGAGAATACGAGCAAGTAAAGAGACAAAATGTAAGCTTCCTCCAATACCAAAATACTTGGTAAATTTCCCCCTATTTAGAGCCGAAGAATGAGTCACCGCTGATCTGACAGCATAACTATTGTGATCTAAAAGCAGAATCAAATGCTTGATGGCTCCTGCTTCCTTGAATGAAATCCGCATATGTTCGTTGATAGATGAGTCAGCAATTGACTCGGCAGCCCTCGATATGGCAACCTCATCATCAAGCTCAAGTATCAAAACTAATCGAGCTACACCTTCAATCCATGGGAGAAGAGTAAGTCGATTATCAGTGGGGGTATCAAATTGAGATTCTTTTTTGCCATCCAACTCTATTGCCCCTATACGAGCAAGAAATTGTTGTTGTGTCCGTCCAACTATTGCATTCTGCTTAGCTTCCTCTATCTCGGCATTCTCGCCAACATTTAACCCGGGGAGTAATTCAGAGGCACCAAACCTCGAAGGACCTTTTGAAGTCTGCTCGATCTCTGTACCATCTGGCATAGATGGCCACGAATATAATCCTGGCCTGAAAGACTTGTAAGCAGCTGAACCAACCATGGGCACAGGAATCAGACCTTCCTCTAAGACAAGAATTTTATAATATTGATCCTTAACAAGTTCCAATAAGAATCACTTTAAATTCTTCCAAGTCGGTTTTTAAGAGCTTTGCCTGCATTTGAAATGAGCATGTTTCATTGGGCCCCATTGAAAAGTAGTTTCAATTACTTGGTGGGGATTGAGCAGCTTGAAGTTGAAGCAAATCGGGAGAGTTGTTGAGGCTAACATTTTTGGCCTAAAACGGTGAGAATAGAAGCTGGGATTTTGGGGTTTTATATTGTTCCACTAGTCGGATAATAGAACTTACTAGGCTTTTGCCCAGGAATATTTAAGTATTGGTTAAATTATATAAATGGTCACTTATGTTTGAACAAATTTCTTTTTGTATAATTATTATTTCAAAAATAATGATTTGATCATTTAAATTAGCGATATATAACAAATTAGACACTCAACATTAATAGCCGTTATTGGGATAATGAAATACGGATGTGATGAGTTAGACCAACTGTGAATTCCTTCCAACATCAAGATACTACATTCAATGAATGGAACCATTAATCAAACAATTATTTGTTGGGAGGGATTAATCGAACAACTTTTAGCATGAATGTCTATGTATTATCTCTACTAAAACACTTGTTAATGGACTTACTTATTTGTTTTGACGGGTTTGTCCAAATAATATTTTTTATTTAAACTCGTCACATCGAAGTGACGAGTTCCAACAAAATATAATTTTTTATTATATTTTGTGACGTCGAGTGACAAATTTCAATAAAAAATATATTTTATTGGAACTCGTCATACCGATATGACGAGTTCCAAATCACTGTAGCAAATGTCATAATTTTCAAAATAAAAAATCTAGTGTCGTATTAGCCTAAATAATTAGCATGCCTTATGGTATTGGGCCAATTTTGCCAAACCCAACATGAAACCTGGAAATAGAGGCCCACATTCTTCTTTGGCCCTAAATTCAGTTCAGAATGCACAACGCTACTAAGTTTCATTATATTTTATTAAATTTTTAGGTTAAATTCACTTTTAGGTCTATGTTTGTTTTGGAACTATGCAAATTAAGCCTTGAACTGTCTTGGTTTTCAATTTCACTTGTTAAATCTCTATTAATTTCAAAAATAAGTAAACTATATCCTATTTTTCTAATTTTATTTTTTTTTAAATCGATGATTTTTAACAATTAGATACTTGCCTCTTTTTTATTATTGTTTATGTTTGAGCCTCTGAATTTTCATCCTGACCAATTGGAATATGAGCATGACTTCTTGGTTCCGATTAACACATATGTTTTTTAACTAATTGGACCCAAAAGATCAAGTTCATGTAATAATTTGCCCTAAGATTACAATATCAAAATTCAATCTTTAGATTAAACCCATGTATCAAAATATAAGTTAATCTATTTTTATGAGATTTTTAATGTCCAATGTCGAGAATTTAGTTGAATCTAAGGTAACAAAACTCTTCCAATTTTAATCATAAAATTAAGTATGGCATCTTATTTTAAAATATCAAATTTTCTACCTTTCAATCTAATATATATATATATATATATATATATATATATATTGAACTCATTAAATGACTTCAATAGTAAAAAGAGATATCATTTTTCTTTAGGTATCCAGCTTCGAGCAATTACTTCTGTCATGTGAGTACATGTTCTCAACAAGAGCGGAACTTTAATGAAATTATGAGAGAGGTCAAGTTGCTTATCTTCAATACTAACAAGGTTTTAAAAGTTAATTAAACCACAAAATATAGAGAGTCGGTACTTATAATTTCAAATCTGTCATGTCCTAAAAAGTAATTAAACTAGGAAAGTTAGGAGCAAGACTTAACTTCATTTAACTTGTCTTAAAAATAGGGGTAAACTATGCATTTAATACTTAAACTATTAGTTTTGGTCCGTTTTATTACCTAAACGTTTATTTTTTAAAAAATCACACCTAGTGTTTAGTTTTCATTTCATTTTACTATCTCGTCATTAAAAATTTGATTCGTTTAGTACCTAAACTATCAGTTTTTATCTGTTTTAGTACCTAAACTTTCAATTTTTTTCAAAATTCAACGCTAAATTTTGAACGTGATACTAAAATGAAACAAAGTCTAAAGTTTTTGAATGTTGGTACTAAAATGGAAAAAAAAAACTGACGTTTTTGACGGTCGGTACTAAAATGAAACAAAAATTAAACTTTAGGTATGTCTTTAAAAAAATCAAAAGTTTAGATATTCAAACAAATCAAAACTAATAGTTTAGGTACTAAACACTTAATTTATCCTAAAAATAATTAAACATAAAAATTTAGGAGGGGTCTAGACTTAATTTTAATGGTTTTAAATTTTTAAGTGCTTAAAATGCAATCAAACTATAAAAGTTGGGGTGGGTAACGTCCCCTTCGCTCCCACGTGGTTCTGTCAATGTTTCTCAATATACTAAGAAAATTCAAAACAAGGATTATCTTATAATCATAAAAAATATTTGATATATGGATAGAGGTCGCCTAAGTGAAATTTATACACGTGACTTTTATGCAATGTGAAACGAATAACTTAAAATCTCTGCGAAGTCATAAGGGTGTTTATAATTCTGTTAAAATTTCGGGTGTTTATAATTCGATTAAAATTTCGATAGATTAATTTACTTATTAATCGGATTAATCGATTGAACACCCTAAAAGGGCATGCAGGAATGGTAGGCATTAATGCAATGAAGGGGGTATGCGCGGGCTGCTGTTGATTGTGGAACAAGTCGGAGACGGTCGACGGAAGTGGCTGACATTTTTACGTTATTTTTG